CCCCCCCCCCATTTTATGATGGGCAACCCCACGTGCTATGATCATCTTTCCCATCTGCCCCCTATGCTATGGACAGCCCCCTAGTGCTGGTATGCAGAGGAAGTGTTGAGATTTCATTAGGAATACCCTGTACACTGTAATGGGGGTGTGCAGGATGCTCCGAGGGGGGGGGGATACAAAGTGTGTTCTGACCTCTTATTTTGTGAGGTCGGTGGATCTATTAAGAGCTTTTTCCAGCTGTTTGATGGTAGAGGGGTTTGCACATCGTGTCACCTCGGTGAGGATACATTGTCGCAGGATTGGACGTCTTTCGTGTGAATAGGATACAAAGTGATACATTTTCACACTCTGTATCCTCCTATTACTGGTATTATGTGAAGTCGGCGCTTCTGCTACATAAGTGTTTCCAGGAAGAGCGAACTGTTACTTTGTTTCCCTGTCGCGCGCCTCCATTTTCTGTAGCCGAGGTCCTTTTGTCTTATCCGGTAGCGGCACGGGAGAGTTTTAGCGCCATGGCAACCGTCCCCTGACTTTGTGCGTTGACTCATCCGCCAGAGATCGTACCGCTGCGTTTCTTTCATAAGCTCCCGCTGAGCTCCTAATAAAGAGGGAAGGATACACAATAACCTAATAGCCGTGTACATTATATCTCCTCAGGTGACGCGCCGCACCAAGCGGGATCTCCTGCGCTCTAATCCCGATTCATGGAAAGACAAATGTAAGGAGCTTCTGGACCTGATCTACGAGCGCGAGGACTCCGAGCCCTTCCGACAACCCGTCAATCGAGTGTCATACCCAGTGAGTGCCCAATCCCCGGGGTCACGCACCCGGCGGGGTGTATTTAGGGTGGAGATGTGAAGGTTGTTGAGTAATAGGGAATGTGATGAGCCGCCATGAATAGACGGAGCCGTCCATATCCGTGGATACCCTGACATCGCGAATGGAGGAGCATTAACCCTTTGCAGAACTAACCTCTGACCCTGAAAATGCTTTTTGCCCGACCCATCATCCTGACCCGCAGGCAGAAGTTCCGAATCTCTCTTTTTGCATGCCATTTCCAGCTCAGTGAGTCAAATTATCACATCCAGGCAATCAGCATTTTCAGCAGTTGGCAGCAGCAACATTTCTCTTAGAAGTGATTTCCTTAAAGGAGAAGTACGGGGTCATTTTCCCCCATAGTTCTCCTTAGGGTAACGGGGGGACACAAACTAGCGTCCTCCCGTCACCCTAGGCTCAGTATATAGGGAGCTACAGCTTGCGGTATACTGAGACGCCGCAGCCGGGATGGATCCCGACATCGATGCCGGGATCTGCCCAGCTGCGTGAGTGACGGTTGGCTCTGCCTATCTAGAGCTCTACCCGCCCCTTCCCCCGTCCGTTCCACCAGTCAGCGCTGGAGGATGGGAGGTGGGAATCCCTGCAGGGAGCCATGAGTGACAGTCACGGCTCTCTGCAGGGACAGGATCGATAAGTGAGCGAGCGCCGGTATGTGTTCCCTCACTTCCCGATCTACTGAGCCGACCTGTGACAGTCTCATTGTCACAGGTCGGCTAGAACCATGAGGGGAGTGAAAGGCACGCCCCCCTC